GGAAGGGGTGGATCCCTTCGAGGAGAGGGCGTAAAAAGTTCGAAGTCGACACAACCAATGGTTAAGCCTGACTGCAGCACATACCCGCGTATAACACTTCCTTGAAAATCACTGGTTTCCGCGGTTTAGTGCGCGGTCCTTGCATGTTTGGTCGTTCATGTGAAGACAGCAGGAGAAGTTGGTAGTTCTGAAAGAAGCGATCAAAAGTAAAGAAATAGATGAAGGGTACTGAGAATCTTCACCAACTTTAGCTTCATCGACGAGATCGTGACAGGCGGCATCGGTCATCACCATCGTGTTATCACTGACCGTACCCACGAGAAATTCCGGGTGACAAAGTGGAAGTCGTACGTGCTCCATCAGCTGTAAGCACAATTTATAAACCGCAATGAGGTCTTTATAAGAATTGCATATTTACCTTCGATAGAGATTGTTTTCGTTCTCGTATGTCGAACCTGACCCATTGCATTACTGCTGCGAACACCTGGAAGGCTGACATTTCAGCAGTTGTCTGGCAAAGTAGCTTTAGTTGAAGCGCTTCGTCCCGAACTCCATATGAACCAGTCTTTTGACGAAAAATAGAGAGGTCACGTTAAAGGATAAAAAGGATAAAGCATTTGCCGTTGATCAATCGGCACGCATTCTACTTCCATTTGTACATTCGTAGTGGCGTTTGAATGCGATGTGGCCTATACAATGACTTGCGGGGGCCAGCCGATGTACAAGTCAGTGTTTTTATCCTCCCAGACAAGTCTGGTACCAATTAACCGACCCCGGAGGGATGGAAGGCTTGGTTGGCCCGGGCGACTCACGACCCAGGATTTGATCCCCGGACCGCTCGCGTGGTACAGAACAGGGTCATTAGGTCTCAGAGGTCACATTATTTTACACTAATCATTTTGAACTTTAATCACTTCTCTTGTTTTTCATGAGTTCTGCAATTTCGTCCACAGCCATTCAGTGTCCGAGTCAACGTTGATTATAACATGGAAATGTGGCCTATTGCTAGAAAGGACTGTACGAGAAACTAGATAGTCCAGCTGTAGGAAGACTGGATATTTTTGCTTTGAGAGCAGCAGAATCTTCATAGTATCTCCATCCACGACCGTCTCCATCGACTCTTTTCGCCTGTATTGGTTAATTGATCCTTTATTTACTCGATGACCATTTAATCCCATATAACACCTTTGTCCCAATATCTAATTCACACAGATGCCCATGCCTTATTTTCGACCGGTTGGAACGAATCTATAATTCAGAGTCTCTGCGATATTCAAACAGCAATACCAATATCTAACTGTCCGATATGCTTTGGGTCTTCTATTTACTAGGCCAACACTTCTCAACAGAGTAAATACAGAGCCTTTCAGTTCCCAAAGGTAGAGGGGTCACCCACACGATAAATGTGAGGGGCTATGAAAATCTGGAGGCCCTCAGGGCGTCGCCTGATATGTAGGCGCCCCAAAGCGGACTTATTCCATGCCCCGCCTTTGGCGAATTACCTTCGATGTCCATAGAATGGATTTTTGTAGTTTGTTTCTCTTCGGAAACCGAATCTTCATGCGTGAAACTTTGTGTGCTTGTTTCTAGTGATCACAACTGACACATTCATGTTGAGAAAGAATGCAAGAATTTTCCGCGAAGGATTCCTTTAAGTTATGCGACTCGACT